AGATTTTTTAAAAAGCATGACCATGGGCATTTTTTCTATTCTATTATTTTAAGCAAAATACTGATTTTCTTCGCTGCCAAACTAAAATCAAGGGCCATGTGTTGAAAAATAAGCCAATCCAAAAGCCAATATATGGGGTAAGGGTATGGCCCAGTGGTAGAGTACTTAACACTTGCCTATCATACATAAGGCCCTGGGTTTAATCACCTGCACTGCTAGGAAAAAAGTCAATACATGTATACACTCTTAAATTTATTTTTTTATGTGTTGAATCTGAAATTATGTCAAGAAATGAAAACTGAAAAATAGTAAGAAGACAGTTAATTAATCTGATATTCTGATTTTTCTTTACATAGTATATTCCCTACCCAAAAACTTCCAACATAAATAGCCAGGTGGATTTCATCCTGGCCCGAACTCTGCATATGACTGCCTGATGTATAACAGCCTCAACACCTCCATCCTAGCATCTGGCACGGCTGCTGCTCTGAAATGCTGTAATCACCCTAAAGTCAAAAGCCATTAAAAATGTCCATTTTTAAGCGAGAAGGATTGTATTCATCTCACATGATGTCATTTGTCTGGACTCCTAAGTTCCCAAGGAGAACAACAAAAATAGTGTACAAACTCCCAAGGTGTCCGGGTCTAAGGTATGCAGTCCCTGCAGGCTTTCCAACACGTGTCAGAGGCCTGAGGTCAGGAGCAAAGGAAGGGCAAAGGAGAACGGTGAGCAAGAGAGCACGGTGTAAAAGTCACAGTAAAGACACATTTCCGTACCAAACGGGTGCCCTGACATCAGCTCTGAGAACAAAACTTACAGCACATCACGTTTCGTAATACAAAACACGCGCGCCTCACACCTGAAAGAGATGGCCGAGACTCTGTAAACAGTGTTTACTTGGTCCCTGTCTCCACACCTTCACAGAGAGAGTACAACAGAAGGCATCCAAACGCTTCTTAACGATGAAGGAACTTTTTTAGGAAAAAACCTGAATTCTTTGCAAGGTGGTGAATTGTACAGAAAAGATTTAACTATTTTTCTTAACTGCCACAACACAAACAAGGAAATAAAGAGTTCAGTCATTTTAGAGTCTAGTTTAAAACCTCAGCTTTTAAAATTGCAGCCCCAAAGCATCTTGGAAAATGTAAATTGTTAATGAACACTGCACCATATCAGTTTCCTGTTCCAGTTGGCTCTCTGTCTGGTTGGCAGCAGCTCAAGGGCCTGACGAAGAGGTGCAGGCATATGTTTTGTGTTTAAAAGAAATGAAAGAAAAAAGAAAAAGAAGAGGGCGTCATTTTATAAACACTTCAGTGAAAATTACCATTCCGTTTGGGACCAATTCAGTCCAGGTGCTAAGGACAAAATAAACAGGCAGCACATGAAAGCAGAAAAGGCAGGCTTCTTTGGGAATTACATTTTTGGTTACACTTAAAGTTAAGTTTTGAAGTACAAATCAGTATCACCTATATTCTCTTTTTGGTTTCTAAAATGTTAATCTTTCGTTCTCATATCATAAAATAAGCCTACAGCTTGTTGCAGTTTTTTTTAATTATTTTCTGCTGCAATTTCAGGCTGATATGTTTGCACCTAAATGTTTTTCCTCCCACCCAAGATCCAAATGATCCTCCTTTGGAGTAAAAGAATGCTCCTTCTTCTCCAGTTTAACTTTGCAGGGACCCTGTCTCCTAGAATTTGGGACACAGAAGTTGGGACACCTCCTTTCCAGTGTTATCTTACTATTTTATGTTGACAATATCCCCGTGCCTTCTTTATTTCAGGCACTATGACCTTATAGATCAACTGCAAAACACATCTAAATCTGCCTGATACCTTCACCTGGAAGGTGTAGATGGGAGCTAACTGTCCACTTACCAATTGATTTTACAACAAATACATTAACAATGAAAATACGAACAGTCATTTCTCTGAGTACTGGATATATAAATAGTTTTTAACTTTATTCTGTGCTTGTTAAAAAGCAAAAGATCTTTCAAGTATTGTAAAATGAACAAATATGACTTCTGTAATCAGCAAAAATCTAATCATAAATATTTTTAGAGAATGTGTAAACATGAATGAAGATTTAAATTTTATCTAGGCCAGGCATGGTGGTAAATGCCTGTAATCCCAGCAACCAGAAGACTGAGGCAGGCAAAGGGATCACCAAGAGTTTGAAGCCAGCTGAGGCTATATATAGTGAACTTAAGTCCAGCCTGAACTACATAGTAAGACCTTGTCTCAAAACACACAAAAAAACAAACAAACAAAATGACAACCCCTGTCCTTCTAAAGTTTATGTTCAAGGAATTATATGTAATTACACAGACACACACGACAGGTACAATTACCGCTACTTGAGTGTGGAGGGGCAATCACATGGTGAAAGCAGCTTTACTTCTAAGAATTACTTTAATTGATAGTTGCTCTGATGCTGCTTCCTAAGACACTACAGAAAATCCCAGACAATTATTTTTAGGCATACAAATACCCACTTTTTAAGTAATTATTCACATTTTCTTCCACTTATAGGTAAAACACAAAATTCAAGAGAGGGAAGACAAGGTAGTTAAACAGAAGGATATAAACATGGTTTGTCAATGGATATCCTTACGGTGGACACATGCAGCTTTCGTACGTCACATCACTTCCTTTGTGGGATCACTCTGGTTCATTCCAAGTGGTAAATAGGACCGGCTAACCCCACTGCCCATTTCTCCAAGTGCCTGCCCTGCCTCCCTCCCTCTCTTGCACACGTACAATTACGGCCAAGCAGCTCGGCCAGAGGGTCCCCATCCCTTTGTGACGGTGCCTTGGGGCCGGGCAGCTTCACATTCTGGGACTGATCCACAACTGCTGGAGGCAAAGTGCTTTCTTTTCCATGGCTGAGCCGGAAGTGGCTGGCAGGGACAAGCGGTCACACAGACAAAGCTGTGCAAAGAAGAGTGCGCCCCTACGTAAAAGGAAGGAAAGCTCACAGGTGCGTAACTGTGGCCACGGGAGCTCCTGCCCCGACTCTCTTCAGTACAGGTTTGTTTCTGCACTTCCCAGATAGGCAAAAAGCAAAGGCAAATGCCAACCAGGACAACGTACATTGAAATACACACCTCAGTGCTAATAATTTTAAAATCTGAGCACTCCGATTTTCAATCATGAAGCATAAAATGAGTAACTCCATAGAAAAAAGGGAAAGGTCATAGCAATAATCAATCAAATAAAATTTACAGGTAGCCTCACATTGTTTCTTGTTTCCAAATTTTCTACAATGAGAAATGTGTGACTTTAACAATCACAAAAAAAATCTTAAAGTAAAATAAGTTAAAATACAAAATTAAATTTAAGAATGTTAGCCTGGTATCCATATGCAGGTCAATGGGCAGGAGAATACACGTGGAGCCAGGGTGTCAGAGAGGACCCCTGGGGCACTGTTCACCTGAACAGGAGGGGGCATTTTTGCAGACAGGCAGAATACTCGGGATGCAGGGAGCGGCCAAAGGCTGGGGCAGGGATGGGGTGCGCCTCGGGGACACCACAGTTTTCCTCCGAGAAGGACAGAAGGGCAGTGCTGAGGAGCATGTTGAAAGGAGTACACTGATTCACGTTAAATTTTCAAAACAAATGAAGCCAGAACCATAGAACGTTAAAAACAGGGGAGACCTTAGGTTTTCCTACTATGAGATTCTCAGTTTATAATGAGGACACTGAGACTGCAGCAATTCAAGTGACAGTGCAGGTAACACACCTGTGGGCATCTAGGGGTGAAAAGGAGGCCTCCTCTTCGTCCCCACTGCGCTCTGCTACAAGGCACATCACCCACCTCTCCTATCTGCTCCAGGTTTGTGTTTAAGTGGACAGCCTTTGTATGCCATACATTTTTTCTTTCATAATTAAGAACTTTATACCACAACGAGGACACAGTTAAGAAGAATCAGTTATGATACATCTCTTAAATAATTATATAGTGACATACACAATTAAAACCATGTGTCCCTTAACAATACATGAGATATAGTGTGAGAAACACACCATTAGGTGATTTCGTCCTAGTGCAAACATCCTAGAGTGCACTTACACAAATATGGTTTGTAGATTCCTCACTCAACAAGGCCTCTTGAACTGGATTAGTGTTAGTATCCTGTGCAGACACAAAAATTAGTGACATGGCCAGTATGTCTCAGGGATTTGTGTATAGAGGTGTGTGTGTATATATATATATATGCATGCATATAGGCAGAGAGATAGAAAGACGGATCTGTTCTACTGCTTTAGTTTAGAGTGATTGTTTTTTATGATGCAGCATGGAAGATTAAGTACTTGCGAATGTGATTTGTAGGGATCCCTAAGTATGTTAGCACAATTGCTCTACTAGCTGGCTACCTCAGTAAGCAGTTATAAATTTCTTTATATACAACCTGTGAGATATTTTAAATATGTACAAAACATGTTTAAACTTCACTTGGTATAGCTATTTAGCAATACGTGCTGTGGTTAACAATGTTAATATGCTGGGTAGTAAAACTAAATGTAACAGTTCCAACATTTCTCAGGGGAGAGACTTAGGACAGGCATATGTTCTTCATCAGTTTCCAGGAGAAATCGCAGAAATCAAGAGAAAAAATAGACCCTATGATATACCAAACAGTGTCGTAAATCTCAATGGAAAACAATAATCTTTCAAACTGTCTTGTTTTGTCTTGCCTTTTGGCAGGCCTGAAACAGAAATCTGAAACACTCGAAGGCACATTCCTTCATGCAAAGTCCAATACTGACACACCCACGGAGAATTAACGAATGAGAATGAAGAGATGAAGCAGAGTCCTTCCAAAATGCATGTGATTCCCTTCACCCTGAAGCTGTCCTTCATCTGAGCAGGTGGGGCCTATCACCATGGTTGTGTACACCGTCACCTACTGAAAGAAGCTGAAGTTTTCATTCAGGTTGGGTAATATGAGGCTGGCGGTGGGACTTTCGGGTCATCTGACCAGTAACCACAGCAACATCTTCACAATTGCCAGTCAGGAGAAATGCTCAAGGTTTAAAAAATAATTTATGAAGGGAAAGAATTCTGAAATCTTGAAAATCACTGTGTAATTAGAACGGCGTCCTTAGGGGAAGAAATATGTAGAAGTGCATATTCCAAAATTTGATGAATTACTGAAGGAAACTTGTGCAATTCAAGAAGAATGCCATGATGACAGCAAAGGAAATGTTTTTTATATTTCTCTGCCTGTAAGTACTTCATAGTTTACGAAGAAGATTAACTTTCTAGGAGGCTGGGAGAAGTACCTGGCTAAATATGAAAAACGCTTTGTTTGAAAGCAAACCTCCTCCAACATAATAAATAAAATGTCCACGCCTTGCGCTACTGAAGACGAAGACGCGTATAGCAGAGTGGCCGCCACAAAGAGCAGTCGTGGCCCGGACCAGGCCCACAGTTACCTGCATTTTTCAAAAAAGGAAGACTGCCATGAGTACGCGATTATGACCAGTTCTTGCTGGTGGTTATGGAATTTGGCTGTTCTGCTAAGGATAAGAACATAAGGTCGTTTCCACTGGAAGGAAGGCCTGAAAGCGGTGCGAGCTGCCCCTCACACGTCCTCGAGGCCTCCCTCGCTCACCGCCCAAGAAGGCTTCCCACCGGTGACGCACGAGAAGTCCAAGCGAGGCCCTTCGGGACGCTGCGCGGCCTGCCAGAGGGGCACGTCGGTTGGCCCCACGTCTTGGCTACTGTGAGCTGTGCTGCAGTGAGCACCACAGTGGGAACACCTCTCGAGACAACAGGGCATCATCCAGTCTTCAAAAGGAGGGGACTCCGCAGCATGTGACGACCTCAGCAAACCTGAGAGGGCTTTCACCAGGTACAATAAGCCAGTCACTAAGACTCCGTGGGTCCATTTGTATCGGTATCTAAAATAAGCAAACTAGTAGGAGGAAGGACTAGAACGGTGATTGCCCGAGGTGGGGAAAGGGGGAAATGAGTCTGCTGATCGGCGCCCGTAAGTTTCCACTACGCGAGATGAATGTGTTGTAGATACCTGCTGCACAATGCTGTGCTATGGATGACCGTACCGCACCATACACTTTTAAGGACAGTGCTTTTTAAACTGGACTCTCCACCCCTCACTTATTATACGGAGTGGATAGAAACATGGTAATGGACAGGGGAGAAGGAATAGGAAAAAAACTTAGGAGACCAAATGCTGTAGAATCAAACTTTAAAAATCACAGTCTCTCATAAAGATATTTTAGGCAAATAACCTGAGGTTTTTATTATTTCAGGTATAGCATCACTAGTCCTTATGCCATTATTTTGTGGAAAAGTTTTGGGGATTATACAGCAAGAAGCATAACTGCAGCTGTAATTAGAAAAATGTCATCTGTACAGAATTGGAGTAGAGTTTGTGCACTTTCCACAGAACTTACTCTTCACGTCCTAATATTTACTTGAAAGTCACAGAACTCAATTAACAGAATTGCCCCCAGCGTGTAAGTCCCAGTATCAGCTCTCCTTGCTGGAAAGCTCTTCTCACGGGGTGAGTCAGGGTTTCTGGCTGACTTCATTTTCTACAGATATCTTTATATTGAAACCAAAACTGTCCCCCAGCATTTTCAGTCCAACTGACCAGAGTTCTGTGAGAAGTCCACCTCCACTGAGATGGTATCTTTACAGAATCTATTGGGGAAAAAAGAATCTATGCAACCTCATGGTAAACTAATCCAGACTAACAAACATGAAGTTCTTTTCTTTTGGTTAAAAGAAGTTGAGAAGAAAATCACTAAGTTTCTCCTCCTGCCCTTCCCCGTTGTATTTTCTCCCTCCTCCGCCTCCCCTTCCTCGTTCTTTTCTGTGTCTGTCTCTGTCTCTCTGTCTCTGTGTGTCTCTCTCCCCCCTCCCCATCCTACCCCCCAGTCCCAACCTCAGGGCCTTGCGCATGTTAGGAAAGTGTTCTACCACTGCCTTATATCCCAGAACTCCACTTCCTTTGCTTTCTCATCTGGAGATCTTTCAGATTTCTAGTAAGTACTGAAATTAGAGATTTAGAAATTTGAAGTCACTCCTCTATAATGAATACCTGAGGCAGATGCTCTGGTATAAAAATTGCAAACTTGAAACCTATGTACTGAATCAATTCCAGATTCATGGTTTCTTGAGCGATTAGAATATCAGATTCATGTTCCCCTGGTAAAAGTAAGGGAATCTTTAGTTTGACACAATCTCCACCACTCCCTATTGCCCCCGCTTTAGTATGGCTGGATATCTTTTGCCATTTCTCATTGTAATTTTTACTGTTGTTCATCCAAAATCTATTTATTTTTTACTTGTCAATATCACTTCTAGCCCCTGAAAGCATCTGCGTGTGACACTCTTATTGTAACTTGTGGTCTCAAACAATTTTAACGAAGGAAGATAGCATATAATTCTACTTTTAGTATATGTTGATTGGAAGATGCAAAGAAAAAATCCTGTAAACTGAGCAATATCTTCACATGAATTGATCTTCTATAAGACACAGTAGTATGTACTAACATTAATATATTTATATCATGTACTTTCCTAATTAAAATAAATAGCAATAATTAGTTTATGGATGAGATGTAAACCACACTGTAGAGAGTGAAGCTTTGCCGTAAGCGCTCTTTTTTCTAGGGATCCGTGAGGTTCCCTGGTTGAGAATCACTGAACTGGCAAAAAGAATTCTGGACTGGAAACACAGAGGTAAAGATTCTACACAGGTTTCAGTTGGTGACTTGAGGCAAGTCACTTAACATCTGTGTATAAAGTCATTGGATTAGGTAGATAGCTGCTAAGAACCTTTCCATTAATATAACATAATACCACGCCTTATGAGTCTTTATGCTTAAAATAAAAACCTAGAAACTACAGGACTTCCCAAAAGTGTACCTGGATGTATTAGGGTAAGGAACTACCATGGAAAAATTAAAACATCAAAAACTGCAACTACGCTATTTCCAAATTTGGGTAAAATTTTAGCCTCTGTCCCAAAGTTTGAAAAACTATGGTGTACTTTTAAATAAATTAGCTTAAAGAGAAGTTAACACTTCAGATGTACTTCACTTGATCTCAGGTATTTGGGGTATATTTATTAGACATGCGAGTTTATTATTTGATAATCAAAGAAAATATATATGAAAGTACTTCGAACATTACCATTTTATCACCTAGGATTGTCAGGAAGTATAACATGTGCGATCCCCTGTATTACTCCAGTTGTCTACAATGGATTCTGTTTGCTCAGACCCAATAGAGCAATGGAAATTTTTTTATTCATACATGTCATTTAATACCAAGTCACTGGGACATTGATTTTTGCACAATTTTGGGTGTTTATAGTATGCTAATTATTGTTCTCTGTGTTAGTCTTATCTCTAAAGTGGCTCTGAAAGCTCTTTGAGGAGAGACATCACTCAGTGGTGATATTAATAAATAACAGTGACAAAATAATAATGACAGAAATAACAGTCATGGCGCAGATAACATATACTGATATCACATTACACATCAGAATTTGTCCAAAAACTTGGACCATTTCATTTAATGCATTCGGCTACTACGACTATCTTTATTTTACTTATGAGAAAGGACACTGTGAATCTGTGAAGCTACACGATCAACTTCAAATCACACAACTACTCAAGCTAGTACTCAGACCTGTCCTACTCCAAGGCCTGTGCTCACAGCCTCAGTTCTGCTGCTGCTGCTCCAGAGGGTTTTTTGGGTTTTTTTCCTTGGAGAGCTTAGAATAATGTTAGGCATGTACAAATGTTCAATAAATAGAAATAAGTTAAAAATATTTGTGATATAAGTCCAGCAATGCCAGGACTAATAATATATTATTTCAGTACATACTGAAAAAAGAAATTTTAGTGTTACAACTATAAAACACACAGAGACAGAGAGACGCTCTGGGTGTCCTTCTACCTCACCATGGGTTATCTTCCCTTACAATTCCTCTGTCAGGGTCTATAACGATACTTGTAGCACAAAGAAGTTTCTTACCTAATACCCATTCCCGCATTCTTTCTTATAAAACTCTTATTTTTTCATAATAAATATATGTACTTATCAGATTGTCTTATAGCTAGAGGTAGCCATGAAACCTGCTTCTAGACAAGGATGCAAGGCGTCCAGGTAAAGCTTTCAATAAAACTATTGTTTTCCTAATAAAAAGGGGGGCTGGTAGACTCAGATAATACTGCACATGCCTTTTACCTTCATCTTTCCTTCCTCCTTACCTAACGAATGGACACAATGCTTCAAAAGTGCCTACCCCATGATCAAAATGACACAAACACATCTTCAGCTGAAAAAAATCCTATTTGTTAAATCACCCTGTGTTATGGTTTGTGTCTGGATGTCCCCCTAAAGCCTCATGCAGTCATGGGGCGGCCTTCTAGAGTTTATTATTGATCCATGGTCCAATGCTGGGATTATGTGTGTGAGAGCTACACTGCCTGGGGCAGGTAGTTTGCACACAGTGTAAGGGAGGGGAAGAGGCTCGCTCTTCCCTCTGCCGCTCCTCCATTTTGCTGTTGTTTTGTTGTTTTGCTGTTTTCCGTCACCATGAACTGTTGGCCTCTGCCATGCGCCACTCTTCCTTGGAGCCAGCTGAGTATGGACTGAAACCTCCACAGACTGTGAGCTACATAAACCTTTCCTTCCTTCATTCTGGGCATCACGTATTTTGTCCCAGCAACGAGAGAAAAGTAACCAAGACAACCTGGTATACTTTTCCTTATATGCATCTGGGTGCAATCCTAAGGCAATGATGCCATAATTGAAAATCCTACATTATACAGCAAGTAAAATAAGAGTTCAATAAACATAAATTATGGTTTCTGTGGTATTATCATGCCTCTATCTTGAATCACAGAATTTTTGGAGGTATTCTGAATCATTCATTCTCTAGCTTTTCATTAAACCTAATGAAATAGACTTAACCCTCACTAATCTTATCTTTAAAGATACTATAAAAATTCAGGGAAAATAAATCAGTAAGTAAAAAATTGTTCAGTGAAAAGAAATTTAAAAAAAAATAGTTTTGTATGTCAAAGAACACTTGGAAGCTTTGCTCTCCCTGGTTTCCTGATCCAGAACTTACAGCACTGACTTGCCGCTAATGGTTACAGGGGAGCCACGCTGCTGCTCTGCCTCAGTGCCCGGGTCAGCCAGACAGCTCAGAGCCCCAGAGCTGGCTGTCTCGGCCTACGGCAGTCTTGTGCACTCACCACAGTGCACTGTGCACACCTTCTTATGATGTCCGTGGGCGACAAGGTCAAGCAGCGCAACCTAGCACAGCTGCGGCAGTGGGGGGTGCGGCCACAATGATAAAGACGTATTTACAGTCTGTCTGGGACCCCAAATTAGTTCTCACACCCACAAGCCTAAGTAACACAACTGACTCTCAGTTAAACAAAAAATGGTCCAGAAGGCAGTTCATAGTATCAAGGTTCAAGGATGGGTGATCTGTCCCTTGACACACCACCCTGCTAGAAATGGCAGAGCGAGACTTTTAAATCAAGGCTTTCTATGTGCAAACCCTTCCCCCCCATATACCTCGCCATATGATGACATTTCAAGCTTACCCAGGTCTTTAAAAACAGCATTTGATTTCATTCTCTGAAGAAAGTTCAAATGGTTTTCCTTTGTGTTTTCTTGTGACTGCCATGAAAACACTAACGTATACAGAAACTGATACTCTCTTTGAACTCAGCAGGCCTGGGAAAGCGTAGCACTAATCAGCATATTTAGACTGTGGCAGTTCTCTTCTTACAGCTCCTCCCCAGCATCCAGAGACCTAATCCTTGTTATTCTGTGTTACCAGAAGAGGTTTTGCCTATCACTCCAGAAATCTTCCTAAAAGTATCTATTAAAGAGACCAGATTAAAAAGAAAAGAGCATGTTGCCATAGACCAACATAAATCGTTGTTTTGTTTCACCAATCATAGTTTCTTATTGTTCTTTCCATATTAAGAAAGTGAAATGAAAGAAACTGTAAAAATAAATTACATAATGGACAGATAAAGGAAAATGTAAATTTTAAACAGGGCAATTATTGTTAAACAGATATTAATAAAATAAACAGGACTTATGGTTTGTGTCTAGATGTCCCCCCAAAGCCTCACGCAGTCATGGGGGGGCTTCTTCAGCGGTGGCTCAATCTACAGTGTGTGACTGATTCATGCTGCAATGCTAGGGTGAAGGGTGGGTGATTACTAAACCACCACTGACTGGATTGGCACCACCCTGAACCCGGTAGACCAGATACAATATAAGTGGACAGAAGGAGGCTAGTTTTCCCCCTGTTGCTTTACTACAGTCTGCCGACCATGAACTGTTCTCCTCTGCCAAGCCACCCTGCCTTGGAGCAGGCTGATTATGAACTGAAACCGCTACACACTGTGAGCAAAATAAACCTTTCCTCCCTTAACTTTGGGCATGGAGTATTTTGTCTCAGCAATATGAAAAGTAACTAGGACAACTCTGGTTTATGATTTCTGCTTTAAAAGCTAGACAAATCAATAGATTTCAATGAGTAGAAACAATACTGTAATCTCTTTGGAACAATGCAGAAAGAAAGAAAATACATACATGAAAACAGGAAAATAGGAACAGGAAACATCTAGAAGCAGCTACTATAGACAGATTTAAAAGCATAGGTGATAACTACAATATTAACCAGAACATTGATTTTCTGTTCAGGTATTGAAATGACTGGGTGGTTGGACTCACATGACATGAAACAATACATGAAGCAAGCAAGAAGGACTGAACGTAGTAAATGTGGTGGTTGCAGCAGGCTTGTTACAGGTTTCAAATTTCATGTTGGGAGAAGTGGGCCCCATAACTAGAACACCTGAGTTTAAACCCTGGCTCTATCACTTAGCAGTTGAGAGATGACAACATGTTTAATGTTTTGTTTTGTTTTATTTTTTTGAGACAGGGCCTCGCTCTGTAGTCCAGCATGGCCTTGAATTCAGTATGTTGCCCAGGCTGGCCTCAAACTCACGGCAATCCTCCTGCCTCAGCCTTCGAGTGCTGGGATTACAGCTATGTGCCCATGCCCAGCATGTTTAAGGTTTTAGTATAGAAAGATGATTGCTTTCTTGATCCTGTCAGTAGTTAGGAGGGTAAAGCTGTGGTATTAAATAAAAAGTAGCGTTCTTATGTTGGCTACTGCTTGCTTCAATTATTGTTTTTAACAAAATTTTCATTGACAGCCAAATACGCACAAGGTTTAAAATACACGCTGCCTCTCAGTAGCAAGAAATTCAAGACTACGCACTATTGTAAAACATGCAACACTGCAGACAAGTTACGAGAAAAGCCAGGTTCATCCATTTCCGGGTACACTGAGCACGTGTACAAGACGATTCAATTTTTGATGCATACTGAGATATCCACTCCTCTTTCACAAAATCAACACAATATTACACTCTTATTTTTTCTTTTTCTTTTCTATCTTTCCCAGTTATGTTTCAATAGTACATGCTGGCAGTGCTTACACTCCCTGTGTGGGATGCAAACACATTTTCACTCATTTTTCAACCCTTTCCCCATCCTCCCCACCTCTCCATCTCTTGGTCCCCGGCGCATTTGCAAAAGATCTAGCTCCTTGTCTCCTATTATCTTTTATCGTGCTCTTTATATTTTGGGCTTCTCATATAAAAGAAATCATGTGATGTTCAAGCTTGAGTGTCTGATGTACTTCGCTTAGCATTATCGTCCAAGGTGCATCCATTTTCCTAGAAATGACACAGGTTCATTCTTATATACGGCAGAATAGTACACTAAGTCTTTAATTTACAAACATGGAGAACTTTCACAAGTGCAAACAGAACTCACACCATGAACATCCCCAGATGGGAACAGATCTCAGAAGTAGCTCACACGTCTGCCCAACACTGTCACAGTTGTGCAACTGTGTGCTTACTGCAAAGTGTGATCATGTACACTAGTACAGCACAGTTGGGGCTTACTGTATTTTTGTGTGTGTGTTTGGCTTTTTATGTTTTACGCTGTATATTTGTGTCCAAGGTGTGTATAAGCCTCACTTTGTTGGACTTACAAACAAATCTGACTTATGAATAATCTCCCAGAAAAGAACTCATTTGTATTGCTGGGGCTTACTATACTCCATTATTTATAAATATCACATTTTCTTTATCCATTCATCTGTTGATGAACATAAAAGCTGCTTCCAGGATTTAGCTATTATGAATTGTGCTGGTATGAATATAGGTATATGTGTATCACTGTAAATGACATCTTTAATACTTTCAGGAAGATGTCTAGAAGGGAAAAGCTGGGTTGAATGGAATTTTTAGTTTTAGTTTTTTGGGGAATCTCGATCCTGATTTCCATAGTGGTTGTACTAATACATTCTTTAACTTTTTATTCCAAGATATAAATGAACCATTATTTTCAGCAGCTAACTCTACATATAAATCTTCTTTGCAGGACATTTGGCTTCTCAACACAATCCTGGCCAAATAAATCTAACTTCAGAAGTCCTTCAGGTGTCTACAGGAGCTGACAAATGTATGTATGTACACGTGGGTTGTGTGTGTTTATACTCCAACAGTTAATACATTTATTCCAAAATTAAGTAACGTATCTTCTCCCTACCACTTAAACTATATATCCAAAACTTAACCTAAGCATGAATGTATACTAATATTATAAGACTTCTCTAAATTTAAAAACATGAAATTTGCACAAATTTTTTATTTTTCAACTTCTGAGCTTATAGAAATTCTCATAATATAAGCATGAATGCACAGAAGTGTTTTAAATCAAGAAAATATAATATCCTGAGAAAACATAAATAAGGAAACTAATAAAAGGTGAACTGCTAGGTCAACAAACACAGTGAGTGAATATTAAACAAGCACTATTAAAACATGACTTCAATTCCAAAAATAACACGGCAGCATATGAAGCTCATAAAAATCTATTCAAATAGCCTCATTGAAAACATACCATTCTTGCTCTGTTTTCTGAAAATATGCATTATAAGGGTGACTTCCAATTAAACTATCCTAGCATTCAAATTTACTCGAAACCAATGCTCTGTTCTAAGAACCATTAATACCATACTAACCCTTTCTAAGTTACCATTCATTTATAGCCAAGCAAACACACAGCGCTAATCACATGCCGTATAATCACATACAGTGCTGTGCTTAATGAAATGGGAACCAGTCCCACAAATTTTGCTTGAGTACATGCTAAGCTTACAAGCAGGCTTGATATTAAGTAAGGAAGTACAGGTATTACATTTCTGTGGAAACTTCACTCAGTTTCCATCTCACCAGAGTTTAAGTTTCCATAGCCAACCATAGGAAAGGTCAGCAGTAGGCACAAAATAGAGTAAACATACATGGGACACTAAGGTGACAGCCATACCATTTGCTTCTGAGAAATCTAGCTAGTCCCTCTGCTGGGGGCCAATTGTGAACAAGAGAAAAAGCTGGAGACAGACAATCTGCCTCAGATGGCCCTCACTGAATGGAGAGGTCTACGTACTCCAGAGCACACAAAGGCACACACACGCATACACACACGAACGAAGAGAAATTTGGTACGTTTTTAAACTATGTTTTACATACACGTTTTCATAACTTCTTACCGCAAACACATATAGGCTCAATCCATAATGAAAATCAGCTTTACACAAAATAGAAATAACAATATTGAATTTGCATAGCATAACACAAATGGATGCCTTCATGTGTTATATTACATTTCTTATTGGAGTTAATAGTTAGATTTTACAATGCCTAATTACATATTTTCTCCAAACTAGCACAGCCCACTTTACTAGTACATGAGGGTATCATTTTAGATAGTAGCAATTAATTCAAATTCAAATTAAATATGGTGAGTCAAAATATGAAACTTCCTGAAAATGTCAATTTCCAATCCTATCACACTATGTGACATGTGGAAGGAATGCTGTAATGCCTTCGTTCATGAATGTTTCTGCTCACAAACAATTTGTTCTCAAACACAAGTGCTGGACAAATTTTTGCTTCCATTCACATACTCCACATAGCGTGGCAAACACAACCGCTACCACCTTCCCCAAAATTGCAAAACAAATTAAGTTAGTGAGCCGAAGTACCACTGTAGTTTTATAGTTTGAAATGACAATCTCAAAGAAATATGTTAATAGAAATACTGTATAAAGTTGATGCATTTAATTTTTTCCTTAAAGATAAAAGGTTGGCATTATCTGTATGAGTATTCTCCAATTTTAATAAAGCTTTGACTCAAAGGATATGAATTCTAACAAACACTTAGAAGGGTCATTTTACTACCATGTCTGCAAAAGAAAAATATTACAAAGACAACCCAGCCCTTAGAGGTGGCCAGCACCCATCCGACCCCACAAAACTCCAGCAACTCCCCTGGAGATGGATACATCCTCTTCCTGAAACCGTCTACTTTTAAACCTGTCTTCTACATCCCTGATGTTTCTGCTCAACACTCACCTGTGATTTTTTGCAGCAAAGGTGACAATTCAACCTCCTCACAGAAGACTTGTACCAATGCTTTCTTCACTTTTTCTTGAGCTTCTCCCAGGTCTTTGTCCACTGTGAACTCTCCACAGACAGAATAAATGTATATGAGGAGGACCAGCAGCTCCTCAGGGCCATAGTCGTCACTGGTCCTCTGAGCTGATGGCTTACACATGGGCAGCAGCTGATTTAACACAACAGACATCCCCGACTCCCCAATGCTCTGGAATAGAAACGATCATAGGAAAACACGTCAATCTCATACAGAAATATGACTTCTGCACCACATTAGTCAGAGATAGCCGGCAAACAAGCCTATGATGTCCATTGACCATACTCCTTTTTATTGGTGTGTTTATTTGTCCTGGAGAGACTACTGCAAAAGGTCTGGCATGAAACTTTTGTTTTGAAAGGCATAGTTTATAAAATGGCTAGTAAAGTTGCAGTCCCCCTAACATGATCTTACTACCGTTTAAACAAGAGTCTTTACGTTTAAAAATAAAAATGTAAGTACTTCAGACACTTGGAATTTTAAATAAAAACATTTGGAAAAATAATATGACTTAAACAACACACATAGCAGGCCCATCCTTACAAATGAGTGCTGAGCCTCCTTCAAGGGGATCGCCTCAGGTTTCATAGCATACTGCTGATCATTTCCTCCATGTTGGCAAGTACTATATTAGAGTATCTTTATAACAACAAAAAGTCATTTTCTGCTACCTCTGCTGACTAGAATAAAGAATCAAACTAGATAAAGTTACTTAGCATTCTAGAGTTCTTTGGTGAATTAAAGATAATTCAATTTAAAATTTGAAAAATTATTTCAGCTCTCCACCAATTCCGTGAACAATATTTAGCAGACAATTTCAAAATTCCTGGCATATGAGAATAGCACTGTATTACTGGAGTAACTTTCAAGTGTATTCATTTCTAGTATAAATTCTGAGATATTTGATGAAGAGATAATCCACATTTTAAATAACGTAATCTAATTTTATCTATAATACAAAACTGCACTGTTCATATTGACATTCAAATCAGAGGCCAAATTCTCACCACTTGCAACTTACATCATTCACCCAGAAGTGTCCCCGGCACACATACTGTGTCCCAGTTCCTGTCCTAGGTCTAGGCCTGTGTCAGTGAACAAAACAAACTCTCTGCTCCCATGGAGTTTATGCTCTAGTGGGGGAAGCGGACAGTTTAAAAGCTAAAGCAGTAAAATACGCAGTGTAGCAGAGTCAGAAGTACTATGGAGGAAAGTAAGGCCGGGAAGGAAGATGAGACCCCTGGGAGTATATATTGTGTGTACAGACATGCACTATTTCATACAGGACAAGCAATGTTAGACAGGGAATACTGGGCTAGGGAGAGACCTGTAAAAACTCTCTTTCTCTGAAGAGAAAGTTAACAGCAAACAGCTGAATGTTGTTTCACACTGGGATGATCACCCTAAATGAGCTTTTCTAGTCATTTCCATACCTGGACAAATGTGGATAGATTATGTCAAGGTTAAGATCCACAATTACACGTATTTCATACACAAAAAAACAGCTGTTACCATTTATTTCCACTAAACACTCTGGATGTTCATGATGTACCAAAGAAAAACAAAATCCTAAGTCTTTTGAACTAGATAAAGTAAAAATGGAAAAGAATACAGTTGTTTTGTTTTGCTTCCTGGTATACGGTGACAAGATATGATTTAGCAAGTATAAACACACACCCCTCAAAAGCAGTAAGGGCCAAAAGGTTTGGAGGCATCCTGGAACGGCCCTACAGCTCCAGAGAGTCTGCAAAGGAACCCTCAAGGGTCCTTTCTTTGCTTTACAAGCTGCCAAAAGTAATTGAAAGGAAAGGAGCCATGTGGCTGGCCTGTTAAAAGAAGGTTGAGGCTTGCACTTTTGCTTTTTACTCTATCATCAACTCCTTGGATGATAATAAGCAAAGTCCTTCATTGCTTTATATCCCATTTCTAAAAAGCAGATGTATGCCTAAAATCTCTATCCCATGGAGCCCTATAGTTCTCTCCCAAGAACAGAGGATTTCTAGAAAGATAGCTAGTAAACAAACGAGGGTAAGGCAATCATCAAAATCACTGTAAAACCCACTCGCTAACACCTGGCCCTCAGGACCTCACTTCCGAGTTGCAGGCCATGATGCGTGCTCCAGGGCAAAGCCCCTCGTGAGTGACGCTCCAGCAGACTCCCCCGTACACACGAGTTTCTAAAATTACACCCTAAACCTGCTTAATGCATCGGACCAGGTCAATAACTGAATTTAAGAGGGAAGAACATGATAGAAATTTTTAAAACTCTGTTTCAAAATGTCAGGTTCCAGTCCTGACTATTCTACTCACTCGTCCCTTCATTGCTTATGATCTCTGCTTTATAACGCCATGCTGTGACCAGGGGCAGCAGAGCAGGAAGTCACACTGTGCCCAGGCCTCCACTTTCTCCCTACCCCCCTTTTCTACTTTACCAGTGGTGGCAGATGGTAGTAATTTATACTCTTATTTTGGCTACTCAGCAAAATATAAATTTTCAAAACAGGAATCCTTTACATACAAATGGACTGTTACAGAAGGAACTGTAGGAACACATGTAACATAGATTGGCATGTGCAGATGTGTTTCCTAACTGTCCACGGAGATGACCTAAAAGCCACGGCACTTCACAGTCAATGATCAAACCAAGTAGGCAGATTGTAGTTTCTAATACTCTTCAATAAAAGGAATCAGAGGCTCCAAAAGGAAAGACTAATTCTAAGGACGGCCAGAAAAATACAAGAGGACCCCAGAAAGCAGGAGAGTGATCAAAAAACAAAAGATCAGGAACATTTCAAAAGGACACAGGAGCAAACTGGAAGATGTCCGAGTGAGCAAAGGTAGAACAACTTGAATAACAAAATGAATAAAGTAATATTTACTTATAACACGATGGATACAACAAATACCTATCGGTTAGACTGATATGAGTAAATGACTGAATTAATAAATACAAATGTGGAAGAACA